CCTCGAAAGCCTGGGTTCTTTTGTTATACTGAAAGGAGCTCTACATTGCTTAGGGATATCTCCGCAGAGCTTGAGCTTTGATTCTCATACATATATATATATATGTGTATGATATTTTTTTATATCTTACTCCCTCAAGGACCTAGGGTTACCCCTGCTTTGGGCATGCTTTAGTAGGCGCGTGGGAAATGAGACCCGCCGTTGGACATTGCTGAATTAGGATCCCATTGTTTGGGTCTTACCCCGGAAGCCTTCCTCCAGTCTCTGGGCTCCTTGTAGAAATAACGCCGTGCTGTACCTTGTTCTGGAGCCCTTGTGCTTGGAAAGCTGATTCCTTACCCTGTACCTGGACCCCAAAAGTAGGTAAAATAATGGCCCCAAACCCTTCAAACCAGCCCCAAAGGCCATTATTCAACATGCTTTCGGGGTTCAGGTAGCCCCAAATGCAGGTAACCTGAAACCTGACGCGAGGCCAGTCGGTTTTCACAATGAGCCACGGGCTGCACGCAGAGATGTGTCGACGTCAATGCACCTTTTGTTTCACACGTGCAGTCATATGGGAAGCGACGGTGTAGATATAGTGTATGTATATAAATATGTGTGTATATGCATATGTATATGTACATGTACGGATGTATCCTTAACACTGTATGGTGTCTCCATCGTGATATCAATCACCTTTGGGTGCAAAGCGGTCCCCATGTCAGCACCTGCCTCCCTGGGACTCATCTCTGCGTTTTGTAGATCCTACAGGATCTGGGTCAGGAGCCGAGGCCCAGAAAACTTGATAAGCAGAAGCTTAGGAATGCCAATCGCACCTACGGTGAGAGCGAGAAAATCGCCGTCTTTGCTTGCCGGTGCTTCATCTACGTGGGCAGCATGTGGCAGCCTTAGCTTTGGGCAGTCTTGGCGATCTTAACCGAATCGCTGATTTAGGTTTTAGCTCTGGGCGTTGCGTGCTTACTTTCATGGTAGTGAGACCATAGTAGTTGGCAAAAAAAGATGCCGGTGCAGCCTCCGGCCCAGCTTGGTACGACAGTTAGCTGCAGCAATACTTTCTGCGAACCGAAGATAACCAAAACTAAAAACGGCAAGCGGCGGATTGAGTCGATGTAGTTTGAGCTTCAGCGGTGCCGGCGGAATCTTAGTTGAAAAGTTGCACAGTCATGTATGCGATGCAAGTGCACTACCGTGGATAAACTAAGACAAGGTTTTGCCATGCTGCGATGCACGTACTGCAACTGCATTGTCCTTCCTAACCAACGTATGCGACTATGGGCTTTCCTAGCGAAAACATGAGAACTAGTTCCCAGATTCGTTTTGGTGCCTACGAGATCCGGCAAATAGTCAGCATTTGTCACGTCAAATCTGCCGGGCCAGAACATGGTGGTTTGACCGAGACAAACCGTGCGCTCTCTCTGCTAAAACTCTTTGCCAGCGGTCGCCCTATACAAAACTTCCTGTATCTCAGGTGCTTCTTGTTTATCCGCCGCTCGGTTCTTGACCTTGTAACATGCTTCTTCCTTTGTGGGGTAGGGTTCAGGGCTTACAGGGATGACGTGCATTCACGCCAGGGAAGAATCCGGAATTTGAGAAATGATTTAGAACCTGCCCATAGATTGAAATCTGTAGAGTTGTTGTGATCATGGTGTCGGCAAGTTAAGGGCTATTTGGCAGGTGCAAAGCCCATGTTGCTAAGGATGGGAGGTGTAGGGTTTTTCATTGCTCTGTTTTTTGTTGATAGCTTCGTGTGCCCGATGAAGTTCGGTGTCGCAGCACTCCAAGTCAGAAACTTGGTGCATGCTCGTTAGTTAGTGGAGTACATTCATTGCTGCTGTTTCTTCTCGCTCTCGTCTTCCACATGCGGCACATGGCAATCTCTGCGCAGCTCCTGTTGCAGCCTATGCTTGCTGCGTCAGCCAGCTGGATTTATCTAGCTCAGTCCAAGTAGAATAACTGATGCATAATTTGGCTCGCCACTGCCTACAGTCATCTTGTCATGTGTTGGTCTGCTTCTTTAGGCTATCACCAACAGAAGGGTAGCACTCGGCTGAACACAATTGGAGCAAGCCCGCAGAATTTGAAGGCACACACTAGCCAACTTCATTTCTGATTTCGGCAGGTTGTTGTCTTCTAGCCGGTATCATAGTCCTCAATGGCCTTCAGCAGTCCTTACCATTTTTGCGTGCAGAAGCTCAAGAGGCTATTATAGGCATCCATTTCTTCATTCCCTACTAACAACCAATGCCTGAAAAGAGGTCAGCTGCGGCTTTTGATTGCGGACTTCCGTGCTGGAGATGTTACCAGGCGCGGCAGAATCGAAATAAGAATGAGAACAATGTTGTTTTTCTTGAGGTGCTCAGTTTTGAAGAGCGTATTCGGATGTAGGTAATAATGCTAGTAAGAAAGTGGGAGTTTTGCAAGTCAAGCTTATGCAATGCTCCACAGGACCCTCCGTAAGCCTTTTTGAACTCCCTACATCCCTACAGGGAGGGTCAGGAGACTGAGTAAGTTATTAGGCAGCATACAGTATACTGATAACCCCATATTCCATAAAATAACGCAGTTACTGTATCCACATTGTCAACCTGCATGATAAGCTCCCCCGGACCCTCCAAGTAGGGCCCAAGTCAGCTGTCGGGCTTTTGAGCTTGGTGCTGCTATGCTATGGGCCCGTGGGGTGCTTCTGCCACAGTGCAAGGATGAAGGCTGTACTGTAGATGTCTCAAGAACATTCAGAAATTTGCTATGCCCTTGCATTCCTGGTGTACTCACCACAGAAAATTCATCAAAATTTTCCCGAACCCTCCCACCTCAGAATTCGCCAGGATCCAAACCGCATTCTAGCTGGGAAAAGGTCGTGGCAGACCTGAATGTCTATCCACCCTGAGTTGCAACCGCAGTTGCAAAGGCCTACAAAGGTTGAGCTAACTAGTCCGGCTGGGCAAAACATTCGAGATTTCCACAGCTGTAAAATAGCTATGTTAGGAATAGCGTGGGTTCAACAGGAGTTGCCTTTGACATCAATTTCTGTTTAATGGTTGCAAGAAGGTGGACCACCAGAGAGGATCATCGTATGGAGGCGCTGTTCAGGAGGTGTTGAGTGAAATCCAAGGTGGTGGTGGGGGAGGAGTGGGGGTTGCGGCGGGGGTGGTGGTTCTTACGTACATGCTGGTGTTGTTTTTGTCGCTGCTGCTTCTGCTGCTCTGCAAGCTTAGTCTTCTGACTCTTCTTGGCCCTCCGGTTGGTGAGCAGATGCCCTCATTTGGGCCATCTTTAGTCATTTTCGTCCTTTCAGTAAGTCGTTCTTTTGGGGGCAGTGGCGTTCTGCTCGACAGGATCCTGGACAATCATCCAACGGAACCCTGTACAAGAAGCCATGAAGGAATGCGGAAAGAGTGTATCTGGTTTCAACGAATGCTTCAAACGACCTCATCTGACCTGAACAAACGGTGCTCAAATTTTTAAAAATTTGAAAATTGTCCCAAGATGGATTTGCTTGACGCTTTGGAACTGATGCAAAAAGAATAGTAGGCCTGAATTTTTCGAACAAAGCTGGCCTGTTGAAGCAACTCTGTGCAGGTTCCGATGCCTACCCGTGCCTAACTTCATCTTACGCTGCTTCGCTGCATTCAGAAGCCAGCTGTCCGAAGGCTTGGAGCTGTCTTCGGTACACATTTCTCCAATATCCTTGCCAGTCAGACAACGACAGCAAACACCAAAACAGTGATGACATGGAATGACAATAAACGTGACAGCCACTTCTTTAAAGTTGCGGCGGCTGGTCTCCCACCAACTGAAAGCTAACTCCAACGGCTCATAGGAGGTCATGATATGGATTATCGGACTCATTCGGACTCTCATGCTGCACAGTAACGCCTATAGGCGTGTGATGGATAGCTGGTGATTCCGGATTTACTACATCGAAAATGGAGCTGAATTCATACAATTGCCCGATGCTCCAGCCGAAAATTCGGCACATCAACCTTAAAGCTCGCAAGCTTGCCGGTTGTAAGTACGGAATGAAGGAATGAACAAGTCAATGGAAAAGGACATGGAAAGAAGCATCGTATCTGGCAATTTTAAAGTGAGTGCTATAGATATCCTTTCCTCCTCCCTCCCCTATGAACAACCTGCAAGCAAGGTGTCCAAGAAATTGGCTACCTCGGCCTGCTCACGACATTGATCCTTGCTTGGCATTCCTGAAGTGGGAGTTTAGCAAAACAGCACGCCCTCAAGGACCCATCAGGAAAACGTGGAATTATGATGAGACCATGAGCATACCCTGGGTTATTGTATAGGGATTGTGTTGACAAAGTACCAAGTTTTTGTACATGTCGCTGCAAGAGGTTCTCGTCATAGACCGTGCAAGCTCTAACGCCTCACCCAAGCGCACACTAACTGGTGGTCTGTACACAAAACATTTACAACATCAACCCAGTTCAGCCTCTGGGCTTGCCTTCATCTAGCCAGATAGACGGGCTCGCCAGGCCAGCTGGCAACATTTGCAGAAGTCCATGTTTGTGGGTTCTTCCTCCTTCGGAGGTAGCGCAAATCTATGTAGGAGTTGCGGCAAATCAGAGGCCCCTTTGGGAGAGTCCGTGCAAGAAGGGGTTTGGGGTGGAATCATGACAGGAATGTAGGAACAGCCAGACACCTTAGAATAAGGGTGATGAAAATTCGTTCCCTCTAGTGAATTTATGGAAATCCCCATGTAGCAACTCTGCGTTTGATCCCTGAGACGACAAAACCTTCTCAAAGCTTCGCAATCACTTCCCCCTAATACTCAACACCCACAAATCACTACTATTGTCCCAACATAAGCGGAAGGTGTACAAATCTTGTAGCAAGAGCCCGATAATATTCGATACATCTGGGCTAGCATGGAAAATGTTGACAATGAGATGTGTTCGGGTGCGGAGGGGTGTTTGATATTAAGGGAAGGCCAGGAGCTACAATGATGCCTTGAGACAATGAAAAATTGTGCACTCCCATCCAAGGGTTATCATGTGCTCGCAAGAGCCCATCTTCTGGTGTGCGGGCAACATGGATGGAGACTTTCCTGGGTTCCCTGGCTGTGCTCGGGGTTTAGGATTAAGGACTAGGGCTAGGGCTGCGTCCTGGTATCCCTGGAGTGCTGTGGGGTCATATGGAGAATTGTACTTGTACTTTCGAAAAGAGCACGTGCTTAACGTATCGCCCCACCTATACCTACAAACAGGCTGCCGTGTTGGACAGTCATAGTGCAAAAGTGAAGTGGATAGGCAATGCTTGCTGGATCCTGCTTAGTACATTTCATATGCTTGAATGAAACGAGGGGAGCTGGGCTTGTATTCATGGGAAAAGGAGTGGTTTGTCAAAAGGACTACGTGCCGTTCTGCATGGGCACCATAATCCTTGTGCATCCTCCGATGGTACCCCTGTTGTGGGTTGTGGTGGCTAGGGCTGCTGAAATTGTCTGAGGTCCGGACTGTTCACGCCTTACTGCCCAGAAGGCGAGTCGCATCTGGAGATCTACAGCGTCACCGCAGGCCCCTTGGCCCTTTGTAGGGCTCCTCCTGACTAGTGTTCTTTTTGCGCAATGCAGATGTGTGGTGAGTAGGGGGTGGCCTTGGGAAAGACTCTTCCCAAAAATTTGTGGGTGTGTGTTTACAGTGCATTTCCTGTTTAATCTGACCGCGCCTTTTGCGGGTATAGGGTCTGGGTGGTAGAGCCTCGGACTTCACGAACTTCTGGGGCCACTGTAGCCATGCTCCTTAGTAAGCAGAGCTTAGCAGCTGGGACACCCAAGTATATTCTCCCACTGTCCGTATTGGAACTATTATAGGAGGGCCTTGAGCCTATATGCTTAAAGCCCTGAGCCTCAGGGCCATGGAACTTGTTCTCCAATGAATGAAACCCTGCGGTGGGTAGTTATCAGGCGGGTACCCATTAAGGAGGCCTATACAGACCTACTATAGCCCGATAGCGCTATTACCCTTACACAAGCCGCTCTAACTGTTATAAGTTATATCAGTCTGATAGGGGTTACTTGCCTGGCAACTACTTGGGGGTGTCCTTGAACCCTGGTTTCAGAGCCTGAGATGCAAGACGGCCTAAGCCCGTCACTTTAATTTTTTAATGCCTTGAGTTCAAATGACGTGGGCTTGCTTGGTTTCCTGCTCTGAAGCGATTTCTTTCCGATCATAGACGTCCGTGCTCAGGCTTGTCCATGTTCCTATACTGGCTGCTGATCATGGACCTGTCGATCTTCTCGATGCAGATCTCCGCTTTCGTCTTAGTCTGCGGGCGAGTTCTGGGCGAGCTGGCTCTGTTCTTGACACTTGGTGGACAAACAGACATACCGAAGTGATAGACTGCGGGGGTCGCCATGAAGATGCAGAGTGCATAATGCCACTCATGTGCGCGTTTCTCAAGCAAGTTGTTCCAGCGAAGCATTACCTGTAAACAGGGTTCGAAGAGCTGTGTGTATTGGCATGACGCTATCTTCCGTGGCTTCCTTACATACTACAATGTTACATGTTACCGTCTACCAACACACGAAGCAGCTGTTTAAGCGAGGCAGTATGAGAACTTAAGATTCAGAGCGCGTCATTCAATGCTACCCCTTTCGATGTGGTGGATTCGCGGGCATACAACCTGGCACCTCACCTTGCTGGAAGGGCAAATTCCTCACAATCAGCTGAGTGGCAGCTTGAAGCGATTGTCAAAGGAAGTCAGCAATGCCACTGCATGCCGTTGCAATATGGTTAAAGTCTTGTCGTCATTCTTGTTGTTTCAATTTGCAACTGATGAGAATGGTCAGTTGTAACTATGATCATACACATACGATTGTTCTTTCATCCATGTCGTTGCTGTTGGCTTTGGCTTTAATCGAGCCAGAACTCTTGCAGCTTCTGGGAGTGCTGAGGACATCTTTGGGTTTCCTCATCCTGGCCTTTGCAACCTCCGTGAGCGCCATCTCGCACCAGCTTCCGGACTTCTCAGGCAATGTCTGAGTCTTTTTCCCGTTCCTCGCGACTACCATTATTTGCTGCAGCTAGCAGTCTGGTAGCAACGGCTGTAACTGCTCACCGTGAAGTGGCCGCTGTCCACCAGCACCACTGCCACAAACTGGCCACCGCCATTCCCGAAGGATGACAATGGACACCGGTACTCTTGAATGACCTTGATGGACAATCTCTTCACTGATTCGATGATCTTGACTGTTTTCTACTTCTTAACAGAAAGTCCTGCCTACTTTCATGAGAACGTTTCTGCTTTCAAACTTCTGTAGCTATCATCCGTAGTGGCGTTCTTACTGCTTTCATTTGTGACACGTCTGCGTGGGGTAGACGTTGCTGACCATGTCATTGTGTCCGACTGAATTGGGTGCATCGTGCGATCAAGGCCATACCGGTAGGCAGGGTGCGCGGGCACATCCACTCAACTCGGCATTGAAGTGCAAGGCTTCAAGATCGAGACTTAGATTCGGGCATTTCCAGCAAGAAGTATTTGTAAGGATTTTACTACGTTGGGTTCTATATTGGGTCTGTTGTTTAAGGACCCCCCGATTTGTGTATCAAGCTTTTTGCCGCCACTGTGCATTTTGGTTCCCATGTGGCGCGTTCGCTTCGTTCAGGCATTGGCTCTGCGGCCCTGTCCCTTTTGGCCATCGCGCTGGGCCTTTTCCCCAGCGAGAAGTTCCTCGAGATGAAGGCTCCAGGGTGTTTCAGTCCTTGACAGCACGGATTTGATGATGCGTCATGTCACTGTAGGGCCCGCAGCCAAACAGCTGGAGCCACATGCAAATGCCATGTTGCATGCAGGAATCAGTTTGGGTGACCATCTTGGTCGTGATTTTCGTCATCATTGTTGCAGCGTTCCTTCTGCGCCTTGGCTTTCCTGACGTGTCCCGTCGGAAACGGTGCATGCTGCAAGCCACCAGAAATGTTGTTGCAGGGGTCTGATGACACAGAGCTCACAGAGCCATGGGACTCCTTCAAGGTCAGGATCTGTTAGTTTCAGGTAGTCACAGAGATGCACACTCAGTACCGGCTGCAGCGTCGTTCAGCTGCGCGCACAGGCTTCAATGTCGGGCTGATAGCTAGAATAGTGCTTAAGATTTTCTATGCCTGTAGACAAACCATCTGTTAAAACTACGACACCTACGGCCTCTAAACCCAGAACACCAGCTGGGGTGGGGAATAGAAACATTCCGTCTCCTTGCATGGCCGTGCCAAGGAACCTCCTCGTTGCGCAGCTGAACCAAGCGTATGCGCAGGTCTTCCTGGACATGCAGGGCTACGCGCGTTCTGCCCTCGGTATGACAAGGGTCCGCCTGAGCTCAGCCCCTCAGAGTCCGGCGAGTTACTGATCAAGCGGCCATTAGCAGTGGCGCGAACAAGGTCTCAACCGCGCAGAGGTCATCGTGCAAGGGGCTTAGGGCCTAGGCCAAAGCCATGTCTGCCTGGAGCTTTTGATTCTGACACAGGGCTTGTCCAATAGAATGTATGTGGCATGAACCTCATTGAGACCTTCCCACATGCACAGCTGCCAACGTGCCAGACTTGCACAAATCGATGCAGAAATCCTCAATGAGGTCTAGTTAGAGTAGTGAGAAACCCGAGCTATAACCAAGCAATTACAGTTCGCACGAATCTAAATGTGTCTGCCTAGACTTGCTCATTTGAGTATAAGCTGTACATGGCAGAAGGTCTACCCTGGAGAGTATACGTCACTCGAGCCATCGCCTCGGTGAGAGAGAGAGGGAAGTTTACAGGCTGACGATGGGATTATATGGGATTGGTAGAGGGATTACAGGGATCACAGAGGAATGTAAGGTTTGTTAGGGGTCCCCCTTGAAAGGTTTGGGCCCGGTTGTGATGTTTAAGGAGTGAAAGTCAACCAAGATCTCAGGGATCCATGATGTCAGGATGTTGAGATACGTAATTCTGGGACAAGTAGGTGATCTCTGTGATCGCCTAGCGCAGAAGTGTTTCTGACCTCATCTGCAGTCTCTCAAACAAACTAAGCAACAGTGCAAGGGACACCTCATTCTGAGGCATGCGCCCCTGCTACGTGTTTTTGGACACAGCTTTTTTTTGATGCAGGGAGTATGCTTGATTTGGAGAGACGGACCGGGGAAGCTGGAGATTCTTCACACAAGTGATAGAGCAGCAGCCAGAACACTAGTGAGTATCATGATGAGGACTGCCTATCATGTTGAGGCGGGTTCATGACAGAAGTTATTCCCGTCACTCACTTATTGTTTGGCCAACGAGGTTGCAAGCCTGTAGTGATCGATGCGTGAAAAGCCCGGCGGACAGCAAAGCGGCTAAGCCTGAACCGCGAAGCATTTTAACCCCCAAGCCTAAAGTACGTGTCCCTCGAATTCGCCCTGGATGAGGTATGGGTTTTACCTGTGGTTTTGGTGAGTCTATAGGCTTCCTCAATATATATCTGGAGCTTTCATTTGTGGGGGCCACCGGCATCAACCAATCGAATCCGAGGGCTGGCACTAAGAAATCTACAGCCCGAATTTGAGGCCTGTGGGCCCCCAGAGACAATTTTCTTGAGGCTGGGCGCGCTTCGTACAAAGCCTCCATCTGGTGTCTGAGCCGTTTTTGGGGCATTTAAGGTTTTGAGGAGTGCAGTTTTGGGCTTAGAGCTTGGAAGTTTAGGGCCTAGTTTTGTGGTTTGGAAATTTCGGCTTCAGGGTTTCCATGTATTTTCAAAGCTTGTGCTTCAGGGTTTACCATTGGAGTTAATCGCGACTTCCAGGATTCAGGGCTTGATTTGAGGATCCAGGGGATAGAGGGCAAAATTGGCTTGTTGCTATGGCCCTGGCTCGATCTTTCCGATGATTTCTCAAATGTTGGGATGCTCTTAAATGCCCCGAACAGCATGTAGTTCCTATACTTCAGACCAAAGGCTATACGGGGCTGACAAACTCCCGTGTTGGACCCTAAGCCCTAAATCCTTAACCCTAAACCCAAACTTAAACCCTTAACCCTCAAGCTTAAATCCCGACTACCTGAGCCATGAGGATCGCCGTCTGGAGTTCAACGAGGGCGACGTGGGCCTTGCAGGCGCTCGACAGGAGACAAACTCCAAATTCCTGCTTGCAGGGGTTAGGGTTATGTTGGGGTTATATCGGGACGATGGAAAAGAAAATGGAAACCACTATAGACTATAGCATATTGCGGTTATGTAATTAAGGTTTAGGGTTTAGGGCTTCTGGTGTGTGTTAGAATTTGGCGTTGAGGGTTTAGGGCAGAGGCTTTCGGGCTCAAGCCAGTTTATTGTGGTTCAGTGCTTTGCATGGGCTCCTTTGGCAGTATCGCCCCTGAAAACGTCTCAAAGCATTCTGGGGTGTAAGCGTGGACCCAACTTGACCAGGCGGCATCCAGATTCTGGAGCCTGCCAATGAATCTCGTCTGAAGTCTGGCTTACGATGAATTTGCGGGATGCTGTTGGCATCCTTTGCCATGAAGGGGTGAGCAGGGAGATCGCGTAGGAGGTGCAGTCGAATTTGGAGCACGAAATAAGCAGCATGCTAAGGATAGACGTGGATTTGATCATAGTTTGCATATCCAGCCAGCAATATTACATCCCTCCCAATAAGAAATTCAAATGTCTACCGCGATTTGAACATTTGAATTTCTTACTTCTCAAGATGAGCCTTGTGACGTCTTCCAGAGCACCACGTCATCGTTACAGGAATCGTCACCATTACCAATTCGTGTGATTATTGCTGAGCAAGCACTGTGGTCACGATGGTTATAATGACAGTTTTAGTGCTACTGAAAACCCTGATGTGAATCATAGGAATGACATTGATGATGAGCTTGGCAGGCATGCTTTGAGTGACCGAAACAAATACACAGTTCTTAGCATGGCGCCTGGCGTCGCCTAATTCCGTGCTCTGTGTTTTTGCGCAAGTGTGGGTCGGGCTCGCTTGTGATGTCAGGTCTTGTGAACGCCCACGGATCTAAAATACAGAGAGATGGATGATCATGGTTTGCAGGTAAGTAGCTCGAGAAACCCTTGCAGTTGCTATATCCCCCGTATGCCTTCCATTAATCAATAGAAGCTCAGTGTTTTTCAGAGATCCTCCTAATAGTCATCGCAGATGCCGCTCTGACCATGTTAGGAGCATCTAGGAACAAGTCCAGACAGTGGGTGCTCCATCTTGTGCTTTACACAGCATATCCATCGAGCCCTTGCATGCGGCTGAAACATCAATCCAATGGGTATCGGCCTTGCCCCACGTCCTGCAAATTCGATGGGGAACCGTTGACCCCAAATCCTGACACCCGAACTCTGAGTGTCTGAGGCACATCCCACCACTGTCGGAGAGCTCAGCAGGATTTGCTTGGACATTCAGTTTGGGTGATGTCTGTGCAGTGGGAACAGCAGGTTGCTTCATAAGCTTTTGTATTCAAGATGCTGGAAGAGGACAGGGGAAGAGCTCGGACAATGTGGGTTCTCGCCTTCAGACATCACCTTTTGAATCAGGCACGCTGTGCATTCATGGTCTCGGGGCTTGACAGTGACTTGATGAAGGTGATTGTCAGTCCGTATCATGAGGTGTACAAATCAGCAGCCTCCGCTGCAGCCGCAGATCCTAAACCCTGTGTAAGTAGGAGGCTATGTTTCAGACTATAGCTTCGCTGCCTGTCATTGATGATTACGACCGATACATAAACCCACCCCGCCAAAGTCCTGCTGCTGATTCGTCTTCCTGAATGGTTGAGGAGTCTTTGTGCGGCCCTTGAACCTCAAGCCTTCAGACTCAAACTATATAAGCCTAAATGACCCGAAACCCTAAACCTGTAACGTAAACCCAAAACCTCAACCCCAACCTCAAACCTGAAATGCTGCACCCTAAGCTTAATTTCTGAATGCTAAGTACTCTAAATGGCCCAGGTGGACACAGTGAAACGCTTTGGAGGCTCCACGGCCACATCGCATCCCTGGCCCGAGGTCTGCTGCGGAGTGGGGGC